AAGTGGCTGGGCGAAGTCAAAATCGCAAGCTAGGGGTAGAGAGGCCATGGGTGAAGGGACGAGCGGCGTTCGCTTGATAGATGAAATTTAACTTTGTTCTAAAGTCTTTCCACAGAATGCGGATCTGCAGCTCCATCGAAAAAATCCGACATTAATAATATAAGCGTTGATGCTAGTACTACGTGGGTCAGGATTAAAGGTTAGGAAACGGTGATTGGAAGCCTCGCTGGAACTGGGTGTAAGGCCACTCGTAGTACTGGAGAGGGTCCGGCTTTCTGCATACAACCGGATTACCGTGGTGAAATAATCTCAAGGTATATCGGTCACGCCAAAATATCGTCCTTTGAATAAGCTTCCTTGCAGCCGCCCGTAAAAACTACCAATTAAGTAGTACGCATTTTTCTCGGTGGTTTTCCATGCATACATAAATTCGGGTGTATTTTACAGGAGACAAGCTCAAAAATATTCTTCAGTAGCAAATCACTTCTCCGAGGTTTATATTCGAAAGAAGGGCATCGTTTGAATCTAAAAAAAGTCTTCCGATTTGCAAATAATTTGGAGCCCGGCATTAAGTGGTAACTGTGCTTGAAGCTTCCATTTAAGGTTTCCATGCGGAGAAAATCACACATTTTTCTGTCTTAATAAGAAGACTAATACAGGGCTCGTAAAAATTTGCAGTAGATGTGGAAAAGTTTACATACTTTATGAGCGGCAATAAAAACAGAGACAGATACGCAGCTGTATGAACTAAAAGTCTTTAGAAAATTGCAAAATTAGACTTTTCAACTGAAAGGTGCCATTTATCGAAAAAAAATGTGATTTGCTACCGAATGAATGCCAGGAAGAATATTTTGCAAGGAAGTACATTCAAAGGCCGGCATCCGGGCATGAATGAATCAAATATAGGCTGTGTTGCACGGTAAACAACATCACAACTCCATCCTACAGTCAGTGACTGATCACATGAAATGCTAACAGTGTTTGTATTAGAAAGGATAGCTTATAGTGGATGTGCTAACACAATAAATGTTAGCCGAAATAGTTAAATGCGTTTTCGACCCGAAAAGACCACCAAATACTAGTATTAATCACCGTGCAACATGATCAAAAGATACTTAAGTGGATTTGTAATATCATGCAGCATAATCCTATAATAGCTTAGTAAATTCAAAATGCTAGCTTTTGAACTTTTTCGGTCGCCTGCAGAAACTGTACTCTGTAAAAAACGACCACTTATGTGGTGGGAAGCCTTCTCATTGATTTTAGAGGTCCCTATAAATAAAAGTATATTCCATAGAAAACATGCATAAAAGTATTCATTATTTTGCTCATTCGGTATAAAATTATGCTTTTTGTAAAGTTTGTGCCTGAAGCAACGGTTTAATTCGGTTTTAAAAAACTTTCCGATTCCCGAACAATTCTGAGCGCGACCTACCTTTACACTTGCCACTAGGGTTTTCAAACTACACGCTGTATATTTCCCCTGTATGGAAAATCATACATTTCCATACGCTATTAAGCAGAACCCATGTATGCTTTACAAAATATACCAGCGGATATGAGCTATATTGTAAACTTTCGGGCATCATTATTAAATGCAAACACAAGGTTTTGTGAACTGGAAACTTTATTTACACCAGATTATAGATTATTATTTGAAGACGTAATTTTCTTGCAGACGAGTAAAAGACTGAATACTTTTACGCTCGTTTTCTACGAGATATATTTGAATTTATATGGGCACAGAAAATCAATTTAAAAAATTCATGCTACTTGAGTAGCCATTTATTTGCAAGATATAGTTTACGCAGGTAGCTGGAAAGACGTTCATTTAAAAACCTGGCCTAACTGGATTATTATTGGATTAGGCTGCAGGGCGATTGATATTACAAACCTTACCTAGGTAATCTTTTCGAGTTGGGTTTGAAATATTGAATATCAAGCAGCATACGCCCAAAACATTTCAGACAGACCAGAATGCCTGAAAAATTGAACTCCATTGTAAAGGACTACCTACGTAGTATGAATTGCCCTACCGACTTTCAATACCCGCAACAATGCAAATGTAATTAATGGAAAAAGGGTTCCTTCCCACACTCATTTAGTGAAAAATCATTTTTCCAGAGTAGATACGCGAAGAAAAGCCATCTTTCGGTCTTAGAAAGACCCTTCAATTCTCCAACAATTGGAAACCCAGTTTGCTTTTCCACTTGCTCTTAGGGTTTAAAAACCCCGTGCTGCGTACTTCCGGAGAAGGGAAATATCATATAGGGGTTATGGAATTTTTCACTGGATGCGGACCGTGTTGTATAGTTCGCAAGCAGTATTATTAAACGTATTCATTTGATGTTGTATGAATGGACATTTTACGGTAGTAAAAAAATTCATAACTGGGGGTTTTTCCAAAACCGAAGAACACCCTTACTTCGGGTACGCAATTTAGAGGTGATGTGCTACCAGATGTGCGCAAGAAAGAGTACATTTTTGCACTTTTTATGTAAAATATATATGAACTCAAAGGGGCATCAAAAATCAGATAGAAAGAAAGGCCCACTAGAAAAGTAGTCATTTTTATCGAGTGTGGTTTTTGCGCACGGCTGAACAGAAGTGTACAAAAAGAAAAACATCCCGGCGAGTCTAGAATACTACGGGATTATACAGCGCACTAAGCAACATCATAAACCCATATAAGTAATCCCTTCTAATAGGAAACAGCTTAGAACTTCGGTTAACGTTGCATGAGATAGGCCAGTCAATGTACTTTTTCTGGTCTAGCACCTAAAAGGTCCGGCTGTTTAGAAATACTTGACATCAGGTAGTTCTCGACCACCGTGTGTACTTAATTTCCCATAAAAATAGGCAGGTTTACTAGGGAAACAAAGTAGCGGGAGGAGGGGAAGAGAGGGGAGAGAGGAAAGGGGCAAACAAAGGAGATAGTCAAAAAGGATAACGACAACAGTTAGGAGGAAAATGAGGAAATTTCGTGGAGAGAAGCAGAAAATTGCTGAGAAAAAGAGGCATAACAATGCTGCAAAAGGGAAGAGAGCAGAATATAGGACTGTAACGAAGGATTAGGTGGTAAACAAGGAGAAAAAAAAGACGGGAACATTCAGGTCAGATGGAGTAGTGCTAAATTAAAACATAATAATAAGACATACTGGAGAGGCGTTTAAAACCATCCGCTCTGTTGGACTGGAGAGCAAAGAAATGGCCGACTCGATTAGCCAGCGCAGCAAACTTGCTGCCCAACTCCTCAGTATTGATGAGTTCGCCAGCTGACTGGAGAACCGCACCGTCCGGACTGAGTACGAGGGTGCCCCGCCAACCGGGAATCTTACTCAGGGTCGAGAGCAAGGCGGCAGAAGAGGAGGAAGCGGTGGAGGTGGCGGTGGCGGCGCCAAAAGCACCTGAGGCAGGAGCGTAGGCCCCCATCGCAGCCTGGGTCCCCCCCGTCGGTCGTTGCAACGACGGTGCGCCCGACAATCCTTTCTAAAATAAAAAACTGAGGGTATAGTTTGTAGACGCTGTGCGTCATGTATGAGTGTTGAGCCTTGTGACACAAACGAAGACAAGACTACAACTGAGACACGACGTGTGGCTGGATCACACCAGGTTTGCTAGGTAAACGACTGCGGAGAGCGCGACGTCTAAAACAAATTAGCCTCACTATAAATTTCTAGGAAAAATGACCCTTAACAGCGCGGCAAAGGAGAAGAACGCACCTTCGGCCTTACCACTGCCTTCAGCAGCCATAACACGTGTGGGGTATGAGTAAGAAAAAGCTGGTGGAATGGTAGGGCCGGTTAAAGAGGCCTCTGCTCTGCACTCATCTGGTGTCAGTATCTTCTCTTCCCCCAATAATCATTACTTGCAACTTACAAATACGGCAGCGATCATGTCTGCTCTTGGTCTGTATCTGTCCACGGGTTATGGTCTGCGTTAGTAAAACTAGAGAGATCGGCCTGCGCTTTTACCCAGTGAGAGTCCATGAATGGTTTTCATACCTTGACGTCTCTACAGATCAAAGTCCCCAGTTCATCTTTTAGCTCCCTATAATTAGGCGGAGGCGTCGAATTCGGAACAGACGCATTCGACGTACATTCTTGTCGTGACGTCACACTCAACGCCTTAGTGCAGACGCTGTCTTACATCTCCAGTTTTCGTTCATCTGTTATCGCGAGGAAAAACCGCCCAGGGCGACAGACCAGATCATTGTCCGACACAGAAGGGCTGTTGTGGTGATAGAGATATCGTCACGTTCTACAGCTTGTAAAGACGCTGCGAGTTGCATCGATTTGGGCGATAGTGTCATCCTTCGTCTGCTTCGAGGTAGCTTGGCCGCACACTTCTTCAAGTCGGCGGCCATTAAAGCCTCGGCCACCACAACCTAATTCTAGTAACGCAATATTGCTAGCGCAGAGGTTAGTAAGCCGTCATCCTGGAGCGGAGACGTCCTGAGAATACAGCCGACAGCGTGGGGAAGGTGAAAGGGTAAAACCCTTAGGCACTGTAAGGACAGCCAAAATGCTCGAAGATAACGACCCCGGGTGATGGTGAATGGACGGCGGCCATCGATTAGAGAGATACCTCCTCTCTCTCCGCAGATCATTTAATTCTACTGCCTGCTGCGACAACCCACGAAGTACTCGAGGTCGACAAGAAGACTAACGCGCGCTGTCAGGAGTCAAAACAGAGTTCGAAAATGCGTTGCAATGCAAATAATTAACCGATATCTATACATTTGGTCTGAGGCCTGGCCTTGGTGGGTGCCACTTCCAATTCATGATTATTTGTAGAACATCCGGTGGAGGTGGCGGGCGATGGCAAAAATCTTGGCGAAAGGCGTCGATAGAATTTGTGCGCGATAGTCCTCGCACTTTATCTTAGCATCATTCCTGAAGATAGGTTTTAGGATGGAGGAATGCCAGTCATCCAAAGCGATTTTATCTAACATGTTCGTTCAGTCACCCACGAAAGGCATCACTCAAAGTTTGTAAGCAATGACTGACGTTCCCATGTTACGCTTGAGAAGCCAAGCTGACAAACAATCGGACGAAATCATGGTCTCCTTCAATGTGGCCTCGTTATTCACATCCATCCCAACAAAATTGGCCCGCGAAGTCTTTCGCAAGAGACTTGACGAGGCGTACGATGAGACTCAGAATGCACTCAAAATTGAACACCTCATGAGGCTGTTTGAATTCTACCAACGATCTTCCTTCACTTTTGCGACAAAGACCTATGAACAAGTCAAAGGAATGCTAATCGGCTCAACGGTCTCCGGTTTAGTGGTAGAACTAGTCCCACAGGAGTTAGAAAAGATTGCCTTCCTCCAACATGAACCGGTGTTTTGGCGCCGTTACGTTGACGACACGTTCGTCATCGTAAAGAAGGACATGCTGCAACATTTCCACAGCCTGCTCAACGCAGTCTTCCATGACATAAAATTCACGAGGGAAGAAGAACAGGCACAGTGGTTACTCTTCCTGGATGTGCTCGTCAGACGAAACCATAACGGTGAACTTGAAATGACGGTTCATAAAAAGACAATGAGGACCACACAGCTTCTCAGTTTTCACAGCAACCATCCGGTGGTTCACAAACGAAGCTGTGTGAAGACGCTCTTCAAACGGACCCAAACTCATTGCAGCAAACCGGAGGACAGAGCACGTGAGGCCCACTATCTCCGCGACCAGTTTGTGCAAAATGGCTATCCGAGGGCATTCATACGTCGCTGCCTACGCGGTCGCCACCAGAGAACTCGAACATCAACGCCACCGACGATATGGCATTCTCTGCCATACGTCAAGGGTGTTTCAGAAGCGACTGAGCGCATTGCTGCGGAGCTAGGCGTTGGAATTGCACACCGTCCCAAAGTCACCATTCGCAATAAGGTCATGAAATTCAAAGACCGGTTAAAACCTGATGAGCAATCTGGAGTAATGTATCACATTCCGTGTCAAAATTGTCTTTCTAATTACACAGGACAGACTGGGCGCATGCTCGGATCGCACAGACACGAACATAAGCTTCCTGTGCGACGAGGCGACGCATTATCACAAGTGGCCGCTCACACCTACGAAATGGGTCACGAGTTTGACTTCGCAGCCACCAAAATAGTCGCCCACGCCGGAAACAAAACAGGCCGAAAATCGATTGAAGCCTGGGCCTCGGATGAGAACTCGGTCAATCGATTTATCGATCTGGCGCCGGCTTACTGAGCCCTGCGTAGTCACCTCCAGTCTTGCGCCGTCGGTCGATGATTGGCCTGCATGTCTTATAACTGTCGCTTGTTCTGCTGCTGCCGCTACCTCTGACGATGGACTGCTGTACGCGTCTGAAAGCTCAGGACAATAAACACAGTGTTCCGGTGTTCGACTCTTTTTCTACACTTATGCATACACTTGGAACTCGAAATTACCTCTTCATAAGTAACAAGCATATGTTTCCAGTAATTCATAATTAGGCCAATACAACTTCATTGAGAACGAAAATGGGTTCATCAAAGTCTTGGGAAGTCAGTCACACTCGTTTGCGCGAGGCCCACATGACGTGGTCGGTGTCCTGTGGCTATTGGGGTTGCGTAGGATGGAGGGAAGGTATAGTTTGTGCGGTCTTTAAGTCAATCACGTGGAATGCGCATGACAGTCAGTAAGAGGCTCGTGCAGCGTGCAGTTACTACCTGGACAGTGGCTGCTCTGGCGACAATACAACATTAACTAGGCAGGCATTTAGAGCCTCAGCTAACACAATCGAAGTTAGGCGATTTTAGGTAATATATGAGTATGCGGCTAAACTAGGTGTATTGTGTAGTCAGGGAAGACTGGCAGCTCGGTTGGCTACTTAAAATGTTCAGCTGCACAAGGTGGTCATTCCCTTCTGACCGCACTTATTACCTGCGGATCAATGAAGGCGTGTTCAGTACAGTCGCCAGATCATGACAACCGCCTAACCTGACCGGATAACGTAAGTCAAATTATCCTGAGTATCTCCGCGCCTGGAGAACTACGTGTGTCGTAGGTAGGTAGGTAAGATGTGCTCGTCAATGTTCGATGTCTACTTTCCAAACAAGAGAAACGCAACAGGTCAATTTTCTGGCAAAAATTATAATACAGCTGCAGTTATCATGAGCGGCGAAATGCTGGGCTTACGTTCACTATCAGAAAGCTGCTCGTATCCCCTCCCCTCCGTACTGTTTATGAAAAGCGAAAGATCGCAGAATTACCACCTCCCGTAGATAATATGCATTGCCGACAGAAGCGAACAGCGATCGCATCTTCTTCTTCTATAACATGTGCTGTTACCGCCAATATGATAACTCTAAATAGATCGATCGACAGCAAAACTTGCCGACTAAATATGAGAGAGGTGTCAATGAGATTATCATCCTTGCACATTGTTAATAAAGCTATTTACTATGTCGGAATAGAACACATTTCAATAACCATCTGTCACGGCAGTGGTAAAATATGATTAATCTCTCACCCATATAAGCATTTAAAGGAGTGTTTACATAGGTCGTGCAAAAGGCGGCAAATATGGAATGTTATAGTACATTTACACAAACAACCAACTGCCAAAAAACGCCATGTCACGCCACCCACTGAAATGTGCTGATACTAAAATGAGGAAAACTCTGGAGGATGATTCTACAGCGATTTTCCCAGCTGTCGGCAAAGTAAACCATCGAATAAACACAGTGATATAAATGACAAGTGTTAAGAGAGACAGCTGCCGTGAGTCGAACCTGCCAAGGGTAGTCATGTTATTTTTAAGACCGTGGTGACGCAGTGCGTTAGCATACAGAACAAATGCACATTTTATAGATCTAAAGAAACAGAGCGATCCATCGGAACGCCTGTCGATGTGGGAACTGGACGGCAAAAAGCATAAAAATGTTAATAGCTTCAGGTGTGGGAAAATGTTGAAAAAGTGAGCATTAACGGCGTGAAGGTGGTACGAAAGACGGTCGACAAATAGACTTAAATATGCGTAAACATCAGAGAAGCAAAACCCAGAGATAGGTTAGATATTTTTCAAAAACCAGTCACTGGCTTTAGCATGGTAAAGTAGACGCAAGTGTAAAAATGCCGATAAGATGGAGAACGAGGCACGAAAAAGAGGAAGAAGATATTTTGAAACGGGACTAAAAAACAGTGTCTTTTGAGTGCGGCGATTGTATCAACGTAACAATTGAAAAACTACAAGCATAAACATCAAAGACCTGAAAAAAACGTTTGAAAAAGTGCACCACTTTGTATAGGAATTCGTAAATTTATTGAAGTGTTTTACTCCATAAACACGTCTGTGAAAGTACAAGCATTGGCAACTCAGCAACGATTTTCTATCAAAAACTCGCTGCCGGCGATAATTCCAATCGAATGAGCAAGGGATACTAGTGTCGAGGTAAGAACAGCATGCACACCCGCACCCTACTTTTTGGATAGTAGATTTGGCAACACAGGCAGTCCTTTGCCAATCTGCTCAGGCGCCTTCGGTGGTGCGAGAGCCAATGCCAAGCGAATAACTTGGTGCTGTGTCAAAAAGGCCATTTTGCGACTCCAGCCTTAAGCAGAACACGCCACTTCAGAAAGGAATTGCGAATCGTACAACAGACAGCAGTGAACTACTTGTGCATCCAACCGTTTTGTGAGAGTCACTCTTAGTTAGAAAGACATTCGACACCTTCTCGAGTCCCAGGTTTGGTTAATATCTTCATCTGTGAATAAGCATAAACAAGCTACGCACATTCTTCCAGAATGCAACAGCCGTAAAGCGATCCAACCATCTGATTCAGAGGGGCACAATGACGCATCGTTCGGGAGTCAACAACCTTATAAGTCAACGCCGATAGGACATACAAGATAGAGTACGAGATAACATTAACTATGAGGCCTCAGCTGTATGCAACCGAATATTATAGAATCTGCAGTTTGGACTGCTCTAAACGCCAGTCAAAGAACACCGTGAAATCAAACAGCAAACGGATCTGTTAATTGATATTTAAAGAAGAATTTAAACTCGGAATATTAAAGATGTCTTATTTTATTTATATTTTAAGTAAGCACTCGAGCGTAACGCCCAAGGCACACGGACCTTCTGCATTACGGCTCAAGAAATTTTAAAGATACGCGCCCCTCTTATTTTATTAAAACAAATGAGTGTTCAACTACCGCAGTTTGATGTATAAGTGTTAGAAGACCAAATGTGTTAAGAGGTAACCGTGTAGTCCCTTACGTTTACGAAACCTACACGAAATTACTCCGGTCTTAAATAAGAAATCGTGGGAAACGAAGCCAGACGAGAAATGAGAAATATGAGTGGAAAATATAATGTGTTGACCATCCACCCGCTTTAATTTTTCTCTTACTGAAATTCTGAAAAAGCTGTTCGGAATGCGAAAAAAGGATATCAGTCGAGGCGCATTACACGTGTCTGCGTGCTGAAGCAGCGAATTGCACAATCATCGACTTGCTCAGCAGACTCGAAAATTAGGAGTAAAGGTACACAGTGTTCTGTTCAAATAAACGCCATAAATTTACAAAAGATGTTAAATTGCTCACGGATAAGTTACTCTGGATCAAGAACTCGCCTGCAACACTGCGAATATCGGAATAATAAAGTTTTATTCTTACATTATTTGCTGGAACATCAAATACAAACAAGACACTTGTGGGCTTCAAAGAAATTGTGTAAAAGGTGTGTTTGTTGCGGGCTGTAAGACAGAAGCAGGCAGTTTATTAACCACCGACACAGAATGAAGGTATGGGGAACGTGTGCGGTTCCTGGGACCCGATCACCTTTGCAAAGCTTCGATAAGAATGCTTGCAACCAAACGTGGAATCAAGTCAAACGACCATCAAAGCGTTTTAAGTCACTGGCGAATCGATAACGTTGTCTTAACGAGATAAACAGACCGGAGGGTGAATAGAGTCAATGCTTAATCTTAAAGCCTTACAAAAAACATCATGTTACCACCAAAAAAGGAAAAATGTGGACACCGCGACCACCGTTGCCACCGCGGCAAGACGTGGCTACGACGCGGCCAAACGTAGACACTTAGCGTGGCAATGGTGTGGCCTTCGACACCACAGCCAGGTCTGGCCACACCATCCGAAAAAAATATGCGTGGCGGCGTCCCCCATTCTCCATTCTTCTCCCCACCCTTTTATGTCCTCCGTTTTTACTCGCGAGTGCACTCATTATAGACTGGCGGCTGTCGCTGTAAGATTGCATGTGTCACTGGATCCTCCTAGCCTCGGCTAAAGCAAATCAATTAATTGACCATTAATGGTCAACACCCCGCGTAAGTGCACAACCGGACAACCGATAGGATCTCCACATTCTCCATTCGTTCCCCGCCCTTTTAATGACTTTCGTTTTTTACTCGCGAGTGCACTCATTCTAAACGCTCGGCTATCGCAGCACGATTACATATCACTGAACCCTCCCAGCTTCGGCTAAAGAAAATCAGCGGCAAACGCCCTGCGTAAGTGCACAACCGGACACCTAGTTAGCGTTCACTCTATCGCACGACATAGGAAAGTGGACAGTAAATGGTAAGAACGACGGTTTATTGGGTATTTACAAATGAGAAATCGGTACAAAAAATACAGTCGGGGATGCAGTTCTCTAATGGACATTAAAGGCCTTCCACTGGTTATCGGCCGTTCCTGTAAAAAAAAGAACTGTGGTAAAACATGGGTAATGTTCTTGTTATTGAACTAATCAATAATGTCAATAGTAGGAGAAATGCAATTTCTAGGTGGCGTATCATAAAGAGGCTTACTTCGGGGCAGGCCATACGCGGGTCCGGCGTCCCGAGTAGTGAATTCGTCTGTTCGTCCCCAGGCACTGGAAATTCACGCACATAGTTCTATGTGCATGAGCCTAATTTACCTCAGGGCTGATGCAGCGAAGCCCGGATGTCCTTTGCCAAATGAATTTATTTGCCCGTATTCGGTTTTACGAACCACTTTGACAAGAGGCAACGACGGCGCGAAGTAATTAGGGACGCTTATTATCTACGCGGTCAACCAGGGCGGGCGCGACACTGATGACAGTAAAATGCGGGTCCGACGCAGACCCCAAACCGGTCAACGAGGGCCGGGTAAAATGAGCTGTGTCTCCATTTTCGAACTCAACAGATAGGTAGGCGGATTTACTACTTTTAAGAACGTCAGACCTCAAGCAGACATAATCGAGTTAATTAGCAATGTCC